CAAGGACCCGGAGGAGGAAGAAGGACAGGAAGGGGGAGGAGCGCCAGAGGTACTTACCTGGCTATGGTGGCAGCCATCTTCATCACCTTGGTGGGTGCTACAGCAAGAAGGCCCCAGTTGGGGTTGAGCTACACCAAGAAGCTTCGAGGCAGGGTCAGGCATTGCGGCCTGAGCTTAAGCAGCCATAGATGCTTTGGGTTGTCCTTTGGGCATATAGGCAAGGCCTAGTAGTCCGCCATAGCCTCGGCCTATGAGAGTGAAGAGTGGGAGAGGCAGCCATGGCTATGGTGGACCTCAAGTGATACCTGCAGTAGACGAGGGATTCGGACTTGATTCTGGTTCAGCTATTCAACATTGTATTATTATTTCTTGTGTGAATAAGAGAGGAGGAGGTAAGGAGGAAGAGAGGGTTGAGCAAAGAAGAAGAGCTTTATCGTTTGTCTATGCTGGTGTACATCATCTTCTTCTTCTTTCTTGCTTCTTCTTCTTCTTACCTTCTCCTCTCAAGTTCATTCATTTCTTTCTGCAATTGGCCAGGATCATAACAAATCAATCAATGTGTATCTCGAAATTGGCCAGGATCATAACAAATCAATCAATCAATCGATCAAGCAAGCTGGCTCCTGGATTGGGCGGATCCTCTGATTGAGAGGTCCGCTCCGATACCAAATTGTCGCATAGCGTTACGGTATGCTACACATGTGCTCATAGTGTTGGGGTATGGAGTGGCCCCAACTTTTTTCCCTCTTGCAGTTTGATTTTCGAAAGCAAGGGGCATGTTTGGCCACCCCACCCTGTCCTTTCAATTTTTTTTATTTTTTTTTTGGGTGATGTGCCACATCACATGCATGTGTGTGCGCTCTGCTCCTCATGTCCCGCCGCCCAGCGCACAGAAGTGCCGCAAGTATGGTCTATCACAATCCTTTTAAAGAACCAGTACCCTGGTAGGCCGCACACTGCTTAAAGAACCAGTACCCTTTCACAATTACTTCATTCTGAGCATCTCGTTGCATCTCGATTTGTCTGCATTCCACAGTTCATGGGTGTACCAACTAAGTTAGGCTAGTCGGTCGTCTGTCACTATCCTTTCCTCTCTTTTTTTTCTTGGTTCATGAGGCAAGTCGTGCTACAAAAATCTCTTGTGAAAAATCACCATGATCCATTGATAGTCTTTCGCCTTTGTTTGTCCAAACTCCAGAGCATTTATTTGCTGAAATGACCTACAAATGCCATGGTATCTGTCCAGGACATTCTCAGCAGAACACATACCATGACAGTTGCCATGAACCAACCCCATGAAACACTCCTGGCAAATGGCATGTCCATTGTAGGCTAGAGCGAAATAAAAACAGGCATCGCATGCGAGCATGCATGGATAATAACATCCCTCACCGTGAAATGGACATATCATGGCCAGGTAAGAGGGTTCACATAGTTAAGGAAAGGAGGGGCAGCCCTCGGCGAAAGGCGGGTTTCCTGCAGAAACTCTGGCAAAGCAGGGCAGGGACAACGACGCCTGCACCCGAGTGTTGAGACATTTCTTGTTTGGCACAGGGGCAGACAAGTAATCCTCGACATAAAGGAGTGTCTGCACAGTGTGTTTACGCAAGAAAACATCACGCTTAAGGAGGAAACCACCAACATGAATTGTGGCATGCAACGTGATTTGGGTGTCCCACAATTCCCAGTAGTCAGAGGTACGAACAATGGCCATGTCATGGCCAGGTTCATGTACGATGCAGGCAAAGATGTGAAACGGAGGATGATACCACTCCTCGTCGAGCATGACACAGTTCGAGTTTACAGTCCATCATTGTCAGTTTCGGGACCACAACTCTATACACAAACCCATTAATGCTCTCTCTCTCTCTCTCTCTCTCTCTCTCTCTCTCTCTCTCTCTCTCTCTCTCTCTCTCTCACACACACACACACACACACACACACACACACACACACACACACACACACACACACACACACACACATTGCTTGCTTTAGCACAGGGTTTGACAAGTAATCCTCGACATAAAGGAGGAGTGTCTGCACAGTGTGTTGACGCAAGAAAGCATCATGCTTAAACCACCAGTACTTCCTCAAGTTGTGCCCCGTTAACGCGCCACAATTTTAGGAAACGTACGGACTACTACAGGAGCGTCAAAATTCATCCGACGAGAAACGTTTCTACTCTTCTTTTTTCCGCGGCCGATAGCTGGGCCAAGTACTGGTGGTTTTAGGAGGAAATCACCAACATAAATTGTGGCATGCACCATGGTTTGGGTGTCCCGAGGTCCCAAACTGCAAAATGTACTTCTGGTGGAACTCACGGATCACAAGTTCAGTTGGGGCATGAGGTGGCAATGAAATCAGATTTAGGAATTTGGAAAATCGATCAACAATCACCATCACTTGCGAATAAACAATCTTACTTATCTTTCCCATGTCCGTGAAGTCGATAGAGACAGACTCTCCGGGGCCATTGGGGGAATGGGAAGAGGTTTAAACAGCCTAATGGGCTTTTGTCTTTATGGTTTGATTTGTTGACAGGCTTGACACTCAGCCACAAACTTTTCAGCAGATCCTTTCATACCAGGCCAATCAAACTGTTGCGATAGGTTTCCGTAAGTCTTTGTCATGCTGAAGTGTCCACTCCGACCGTGAGCCAAGTTCAAGAAGTGTGTGCGGAGAGGCTCATGGTTGGGTACACACAAACGATAATTCTTTGTCTGAAAACCACTCCTTCACATTCCTGAAAATCAGGCTGACTTTTGGGGCCCACAACTGCTCAAGGATCGGACTAAGATCCGGGTCCTTGCCAGTTTGCTCCACAAACTCCTCCTTCAGTTTCTTTCGGAGGTCGTAAGAGTTCACAAGGCAAGTCATATACTCGGGGTGGCGAGACAATGCATCAGCAACTCGATTATAACAACC